TGGGTGAAATGTTGATTGTGAGGTTCTTAAGGTTTTGTCTAAAGTTATGGAATTTTCCCTTCCTATCCATCAAAACCCTTCTTTTGTGGGATTGTTTTGACCCAAAATTCCTTGCAAAATTATTTTAACTGTTGGAGTTGCATGAATTTAGTAGTTATCCATCTCAACTCATCCACGTCAATTATTGATTTCTTACACAAACTATTAAAGAAAGGTTTTGACATTAAAGTTGTGACCATGTGATAAAGTGTTATCTTTATTAAAATTAATAAATAAATTAATTCAATTATGTGGAAAGTTTTAAAATAATTATAATTAACTTAGTGGATAGTTTGAGGAGTTATCCAACTTAATAGATAATATGAAGAGTTTATCTTTTGAAATTGATGGTAACCAACTTGATGAAAGTTGGTTATATAAAGGAAGCAAGGGTTTTGTCTCTACCATAAGATTTTCTCACTATTAACTATTAGAAAGTGTAAGAGTAGAAAGAAAGACAAAGAGATAGATTGAGAAAATGAGACTAGAGAACAGAGAGATTGAAAAATATATTTCCATTGGATCTTTCATAGATAAAGGTTAGTATATCCCTATCATGATTTATGTGAATGTGTGAGAATAATAAATTTTAAGATCCTATTGAGTAGTTTTTTGGAATTGAATTAGGAATGCATGGAAATTATTTGAACTAACATATAGTATCGGAGTATCGTTAATTTTGTAATTCTCCTTTTATGATGTTTCCCAATTTTATAAAACCTTAATTATGAAATTTAGGAGTTTTATTTTTTTTCATTGCAATTTTATGTTTCCACTACCTATAATAAAATTTATGGATGATTTTTTCACTGCATTATGAATTAATTTATGTGAATTGCAACTAATGTTTTTATTTTATTATATGAATAATGTATTTTTAAATTGAAAGGTGTCTGATTGTAAGTTAAAAGGCTTAGAATTGAAATAATGATTTCTCTTTCACATGAATATATTCAAAATCAAATGCTTTGATTTGAACTGATGTATGACTTGATTGGGTTTGCAGTATGTACTTAGCATGGTATAATTCATGCATGAAATTAATGTTAATGTTTTGATATTGTTATAAGATAAAAAAAATGAAATATGTTATTATGGTTAATAGCAATTAAAGGTATATATTTATTTGAAATCAAGTATGATGAATTTTTTTAGTCATCAAAGTGGTCAAAATTTTGAAGTTATTTGATTTCAAATTATTGATGATTTTATTTCAATTACCCGTAGAATGGATGCTAAATTATAGATAATTGATTTATGAATTAATTGAAATTCATTATTATAAGGCATTTCTTGATCACTCAAAGGTTGATTAATTGTTCTTATAACTAATGGGCATGATGGTAGATAACTTTATGTGCATCACTAGTTTTATTTATATACCCAAAGGTATTAGGTGATTCTAGTTTATATATATTTTAATTATCACTAATTTTATAATATGATTAGTATCATTATGTTTACGTATTAGTATATCTCTAAAAGAAAAACATTAGTATGCATAGAATGTTTATTTATGTTTGAACCTACATTTCATGTTTAATTTATAACTCAAAACATTAATGTTAGGTATGTATTAATTACAATATTTGTTCTTGTATCTTTACATTCGCTCACTATGTTTGTTCCGGTCTTTAATGGGTTAAATTTTCCTTACTAGAGTGAACAAGTCAAATTTTACTTAGATGTGTTAAATCTTGGTTTGACTTTTTCCAGTTGAAAAGTTTGCTGCTATCACTAATGCAAGTAACAATGAAGAGAAAGTTCATTATAGAGCTTAAGAAATATCAAATAGACTTAACTTGATGTTTATGCGAATGTGCATAACAAGTAACATTAAGTTTAATCTTCCCAAAACTGAGAATGCGAAAGAGCTTATGAAATTTGTGGAATAGCGTTCCCAAACCACTGGCAAGTCTCTTGTTGGAACATTAATGAGTACTTTGATCACCATGAAGTTTGGTGGTTCTTGTACTACACATGAACATGCAATTGAGATGACAAAAATCGCAACAAGACTCAATTATTTTTGAATGACAGTGAATGAAAATTTTATTGTACAGTTCATTTTGAACTTGTTATCATCTAAGTGTGGTCTGTTCCAAATGAACTATAATATCATGAAAGACAAATAAAATATGCATGAATTGCACAGTATGTAGTTCAAGAGGAGACCAGACTTCAGAACTTAGGAAGTCACTCTGTTCATTATGTGAGAAATCAAGGAGTTAAAAAAAAGTTGTTAAGAAACATGAAAAGGATAAAGAACCATTAAAGATTGACTAGTTATCTGCTAAAATCCAGAAGAAAAATGACAAATGTCATTTTTATGTTTATTTTGAATCAAACTTAACTAAAGTTTTCCATAATACTTGATGGATTGATTCTGGATGTACAAATCATGTTTTTAATATGATGCATGGATTTGTGTAAACCCTAACCATAAACCCAAATGAGGAGTTCGTCTTCATGGAGAATAGAGTGAAGGTTCAAGTGGAAACTATTGGGGCTTATTATTTAATCCTTGACACCAAATTTCACTTAGACTTGATGAATACTTTTTATGTACCTGGTATCACTAGGAATTTAGTTTCTCTGTCTAAGCTTGATATTGTTGGATACTCTTTTAAGTTTGAGAATGGTTGTTTCAGTTTGTTTAAGCATATTTGTATGATTGGATCTGGTACACTTATGATGGTTTATATAAATTGAATTTGGATAATTTATATGCTAAAACTCTTATGACTTTGCATAACAATGTTGACACTAAACATAGTCTGGTGGATGAATAATCTTCTTACTTGTGGCATAAGCGTTTTGGACACATTTCCAAAGAAAGAATGCAAAGATTAGTAAAGAATGAAATCCTTTCAGATTTAGATTATACTTATCTGAATGTGTGGATTATATTAAAGAAAAACAAACAAAACTCACAAATAAAGGAGCCACAAGAAGCACTCAACTTCTTAAAATCATATACATTGGTATATGTGGTCCGTTTGATATGAATTTTTTCAATAAAGAGAAATACTTCATCATGTTTATTGACGATTTCTCACATTATCAACATGTCTATTTACTGTATGAGAAGTCTTAAGCAGTGAATGCCTTAGAAGTTTATAAAAATGAAGTGGAGAGGCAATTAAATAAAAAGGTAAAAATTATTAGGTCAGGTAGAGGTAGTGAGTATTATGAAGGATATGATGAAAGTGCACAATATCCTGGTCTATTTTCTAAGTTCCTTGAGAAATGTGGTATTTGTACTCAATACACAATGTCAGACACACCACAACAAAATGGTGTGTCAGAAAGGCATAATCAAACATTAATGGATATGGTTAAGAGCATGTTAAATAATTTATGTTTACCTGTATTATTGTGGATATATACTTTAAAGGCTATCATGTATTTGTTGAACAAGGATCCTAGTAAAGTTGTTCAAAAGACTCCTTTTGAGTAATAGATAAGTATGAAACCTAGTTTGAAACACCAACATGTTTGGTGTTGTTAAACATAAGTAAGATTATACACTCTGCAAAAAAAAGAAGAAGAAGAAGAAACCAGATGCAAGAAAAATCAATGAATATATCATTGTTTATCCAAAAAATAAAAAGGGTATATAGTTTACTATCCTACCCATACTACAATGTCGCAACCAAAATCGCGAATGAACGACAAAATTAAGTTTATTAATGAAAGAAAACAATGAAGTCGTCACCAATATTTATTTTAAGGAAAATATTGAAAAAAAAAACTTCAAAAGAAAAGAAAGTGGTATGTGAAGTAAAGGTTGGATCCGAGAGTCAATTATGTGTAGAGAAGGTATTAGCACCCTACAACATCCGTTTTAAAAACGATTACCTTTAATTAGACATGAAAAGTTAAATATCTTAAAATTATCTATTTTTATCCATCAAACTTATATATCTATTAAATGTTGCTATTAAAATAACAGATTATATATTTTTATATTTTTTGCTTAACAGAGATGATCTCCCTACTCCTACATATTTTTAGGTGTAACGGAGAATCGAGTAACATAGTTCTTTCTTAAAAATATTTGTAAATAATTTATTTTAATTTACTATTTCTATTACTAAGTTAAACGTATGTCTTAAATTATTTTAAAATTGAATAATTATGAAAAAATCAAATTAGAAGTACATCTAAAGTGATTATCATTTTTATAATTTGAGTAATAATTAAATCGGAAGTGCATCTAAAGTAATTTAAATGTTTAAATTATTATACTTGTAATTTTTATTTTGTTTTAATATATATATATATATATATATATATATATTTTATTATAACCAAGTCAAAAGTACATTTAAAGTGATTATTATAATTTTATAGCAACCAAATTAGATGTACATCCAAAGTGGTTAAACTTTTACTAAATATTTTTTTACTACTCTAATAACAATAATATTGCATATTTAATAACACTCGAGAAAAGAAATTGATAATTATTGAAATTTAATTTTGAATATATTAATAATGATATACTAATTTAAATCATTTTTAAGAAAAAAATATAGAATCATTTTTATTTGAAATTTGGATAAAATAATAATAAATTTTTTGACTCATTACTATTTGTAACTTGCTTTTTGTTATGTTGTATAGTTTAACAAAAAAAAAAACATTAGGCTCAATAATTCATAAAAATAAAAATTCTTTCAGATTTGTTTAACTATTTGAAACTTATTTTTGTTATTTTTACCCTCAAACCCAAATAGAAACTTATTTTTTAATCCAACTTAGACTATCAGTCTAAAAATCTCCCACAAATCTACTGGGTCCAAGATTAATTCACTTCACTATTAGAAGTCTGTTTTTATTATGTCTACTCCCTGACAGATTTGGGTCGCACCTCTCTTTAATTCTAACACACCTCTCTTTAATTCTAACACACCTAAACCTAATACTGAAGGAAAAAAGAGAGGACGGGGTGTCGCATGAGAGTGAGGGTAGTGTGGGCTGGAGACGCGACGCGGTGGTTTAGGGTTCGAAGGAGGCGACCGAGTCGTGATTTGGATGAGGGTGGTTCGATTGAGGTGGCCTGTGGTGGCGTGAGTACTGACCATGGTGGCTAGGGAGGAGAGGTGACAACAATGATGACAGTTTTGGTGCGGGAGAGGAGAGGATTTGTGATTTGGGGGTAAAGGTTAGTGGGCCGACTAGACGGTTTGTGATTGTCTCACGATGGTGGTAACTAAGCACGCAGCGGCCAGAGGAGATGGGGGAGAAGCGGTCTTGGATGGCAGGTTCCAATGAGGTTGAAATGGGAGTGAGAAGAATTGAAAGTGGTGGTGGTCGTAACTGGAGGAGAAATAGAGAGTATAAGCGGAAGGGGAGGAGAGTGGAGGTGGTGCGGTCGGCTCACTGTGGCGGTCGCCGGTGGTGATGGTAAATGAATTTTTATTTGTTTTTATAATTTTTATTAGTTATTATGAAATATGTACAATCTAGTATCACATTAGGTATACAACAAATACTTCAAGGCTACAAATATTACAATACTACATACAAAGTAGATAGTGGATTGGGAATATGGTTACAAATATTACAATACTACATACAAAGTGGATAATGAAGGATAGTGGATTGAGAATCTATGTACGAGTTTTGCTAACATTGAAATGTGTGTTGTTATTGATTATGTTGCTGAAATTAAAATGCATGTTGTTGTTGATTGTGTTGTTGTTGATTGTGGTTTGTGTTGCTATCGATCGTGGTTTGTGTTGCTAGGTTTGTGTGTTGGTTATGGCTATTGCTTTCCTTTATCTGGGTTCATGAAAAAATATCCTTTTTGTTAAGGTTATCTTTCAATTTATAGAGCCAAATCTCTGGTAACATGCAGGGCAATATTGTTAGAGCAGGATTATGTTGGTGGCTGCAGCATTGTAGCAAAGAGGAGAGGGTGAAGCAGTGTAGCAGAGAGGGTGAAACATGAAAATGAGACTGACTCTCATGGGCAAAGGAAAAAAGATGTTTTTCCTTTTATTGTTTTTCTCTGTTTTTTTTTTTTGGTTTATTTGAAAATTTTCATATATTTTATGTATTTTATAGGAAAAATGAGGTGTTTACATACAAGAATTGTTGAAAATGGAAATGTTTGGTTCATTAAAAATGTTGAAACCAGCGGAAGTGAAGTTTCACAAAATGTGGAGATTAATGAAGTTAGAGTACAAGTTCTTATAACTAGTACTTCTTCTTCAAAAGTTGTTGCTCCCCATGTTATATAACCACATAATAATAAAGAACAATAACAAATTAATGATCCTGAGGCTAACAATGAGTTGGTAGTAGAATAACCACAAGAAATAATATTAAGAAGATCTCACAGAGAAATAAAATCTACTATTTCGAATGATTATGTGGTTTATCTACAAGAGTCATAAAATAATTTAAGTATTGATAATGACTCAGTTTCATTTTCAGAAGCCATTAATGATGCTAATTCTGATAAGTAGTTAAATGTTGTGAAAGATGAGCTTGCACATAATGGTGTATGAGACCTTGTAGTATTTCCAGAACAATGCAAGAGAGTTTGGTGTAAATTGGTCTTTAAGACTAAGTGTGACTCTCATGGTAATATCAAATGTTACAAGGCCCAAATTATTGCTAAATTTTTTATTTAAAAAGATGGCATTAACTACGAGGAAACATTTTCGTTTCTTTTTAAGAAATATTATTTTAGAATTATCATGACATTAGTAGCTCATTTTGATCTTAAGTTGTATCAAATGGATGTTAAAACTACTATTCTAAATAAAGATTTAGATGATGATGTTTATATGGATCAACTGGTAGGGTTTATTGAAGAAGGAAATGAACACATGGTGTGTAAACTTAAGAAATCAATATATGGGTGTATATATCCGAAGGTTAGTAGGAACAAGTTTATATTTATGATTTTGTATATTGATATCTTGCTTGCGACTAATGATCTCTGTTTATGAAGTACGATTAAGAAGTTTCTCTCTAACCGCTTTGAAATGAAAGATATGGGTGAGACATATTATGTGATAGGAATAGAAATATTTCATGAATGGTCACAAGGAATCACTACAAGAAAAAAGCTTATTACCTACGGAATATTACCTACGGGTAAAAATCCGTAGGTAAATTT